CCAATGAGTGTACAAGAACACCTGCTTACTGGTATATATGGGATACTCTACCACATGCATGCAGTTTGAAGTGTTTTAAGCACATTTACAGTAGTAACAATTACTTGCAGGCTACAACTACTAGTCTTAACTGGACTGATTTCCTCCTGGGGAGAAAGATATTTTAGTGTCTCCTCTCATGTTTTAAGCATGTATAAATTATCAGCCACACCAGAAGAGGTTTCTGAACTCCACCTTATTATTCATTGCACAGGAAAAAACTGTATGAATGCAGCCAGTTTGCACGCTGTGCAAGGTAAGATTCTATCCAGCAGAAACAAAATGGAGGAAATCTTCTGAAGAATTAATAAGACACTCTTGGTTCTACTTCTCCTTACTCTCCCCTTTTTTAATTTGATGTGCCTTATGCTTATATTACGTTTACACTGAGCTTATTCTAGTCCTTACAAGAAAATATTTTTTAAAAAAAGGAAAAAGGTGTTCTTCCTCCACGCTTTTTGATGTATTTCTTAGCTTGACCTATATAGCCTTTACATACAAAAGTGCACAGCAAGAGGAATTTCTACAGAAATTTTTCAAAATCTGCTGTTGATGCCAGAGTTTAAGAATGCAGCATCCATGTCATAGTCCTTAACAGAAATTAATTGTCTTACAGAAGTCACTATGCAGGAAGCCACCAGAGCCAGGATAACACCCACACTTGCAAAGGTGTTTAATGCTGCTGGTTTTGCATGCAGAGTTAGATGTAAGAGGGCTGTGGCAGGCCCTGACGTCTCAAAAAAGAAGTGCCAATGTTCTAGGAAGATAATTGCAGCCCTAAGATATTGCAATCTAATGTAACAAGAAGGATACTTTTAATGTCTGTGGGTTTTATGCAAAATGGGTCTGCAGTATTTACTTGATTTTACAACCTTAGGTCAAGACTTCTAAGTTCTTTTCTGTTAATATATTAAAGGAACAATCTTAATTTTTCAAGTTATCTTCTAGCTGCATCTCAAATAATAAAAAACAGGTGGCATGTCACAGATCCGTACAAAGGAATGGTTTTATTGTACCAAGATGCCTTTAAGCCGGTGCAGAAATCACTGAAAGAAGTGGTACAAAACTACAAAATCACAAATTAACAGCTGCTATCAGATGACTGTAGCCAAAGACGCTGAAACTGAGTCACAGGCAGATAGCATGTGATAAAGCACCAAAGGTCTGCGGAGAAGCTAATTCATACAGTGGGATATGGAACTGTTTAACGAGGTACAAACTTAGCATTCCCATTTGAGGATAACGATAAACCAGCCACAGATTACTGATCAACCATACAGATTAAAGTCAAGGGTATCGCTTCAATAAAGCATCACCATGTACATCTCAAAATATACTGCATCAGAATTTAAAAAGTTATTTTAGAAAGTTTTAAAATATTTGTGCAGTGGATTGCCTTGTCCTGGGAGATGCAGAGTTCCTCCTCTCTAGGCTACCAGTTAAACCATTTTCAGGCTTCAAAAACTAACGATGTATCTGTCCACAGGCGTAATTGTTAAGAAACACTCACTAAAGAAAGTAGGAAGAGGAGATGTTCTGGGGATTATTTTATACAACAGTTCACAAAAAGAAAGAAAAGCTGGAATTCTGCAACTGGTTATAAAACACAAGTGTTTTATGTCCATGGAAAATGACTATTTGATATTTGTGTTCTTGTAAGAGTAGAACAAAGTAACAACCAAAGCAAACTCTATGTCCATGGACTGACATGCTGTAATTTAAATGCTGTAATTTCTAGTCTCAGACAAACATTTTGTTGCCTAGCACAAAGCGGTTTCCTGCGCAGGCTCATTCTGCTCCGGGGGCTGCACAACTCCATGCCTCTCCTGACTGAGCTCTTAATGCACTTGCACCATGTCAACCAACCGGACCACCCCAGGGCATCACGGGTGATGCAATTAATCTAAAAAAACCTCACCCAAGAATGACTTAGGAAGCCACTTCCAGAGAGAAAGCTTACTCATTTCCATGGGTAAGTCCATCTCTGAAAAATGAGCCCCCTCCCAGGGGCAAATCAGGCACACCTTGGGGTGCAGGGACTTTTGAGCCCTACTGCCGAGACCCAGGGTTGCAACAAGCACTTGGTGACACCAGTGCAGCCAACCCTCAGACGTCTGGACGCAGCCTTGGGCAAGGTCTGTTTCGGGACTCGCTCTGCAGGCGCTCTGTCTAGTTGTACTCAGGCTGCAGCAGCGCTTGAAGTGCAGTGCATCATATTTTCCCCACCCTTCTGCACGCCTTTCAGTGCCACTTCAAGCTTCACCAAAGAGAGAAAAACTGTAGTGAATCACTTGCGATTCTGATTCTGGGGAGTTACAGATTTTTTTCCTGCATGGATGTGGATAGCTTTCTTGCACTCCCTTTAAAATAGCATAACCACAGGGAACAGGCATTGTACGTGGGTGTTATCAGGTACCCATCTCAGCATCTCCATGAAATAATAACTCCTTTAAAAGTATATTGCTGCGTTTGCAGAACTTTTATGTTCACGCTCCTGGGGTTATTATTTTAATGAGACTGAAAAGTTAAGAAACCATTATGGAAAAACTCCAGCTTCAGACGAACTAAGGGAGGAGGTAAGACTTCTTGACAGCATGGGCACTGAGAGAGTCTGAATCTGCAGGCCAGAAATACAAAAATAAAGCATAGTGTTTTGCACTGTTTCTGATTACACATGCATTTAAGTTGTTGCTCAGCATACTCGGGATGTTCTGGTACGTCATTCGTCTGTGAAGTTAAGGTCAAGGATGTACTACTCTACAGCTGGGGTAGGAGGTGTCAGTAAAGTATCTTTATTTTAAAACATTAGGAAACCTAACGTTTGCCAGCGCCTATCTAGCAGACAGGTCTTTGGAGACATGCGAAGATGTGAGATGCTTCACGGGAGTAGGAAGAGAAACTGGGAAGCAATTCGTGAAGGGAGATGTACTCTTTCCTTTTCAGGAAGGGCAGGAGTACTCCGCTCTTGAAAAACTCATTTTCCAGAAAAAAATAACAATATTTGACAAGTGGCTGTTTGTGCTGTATGCACTTTAACTTAACATTGTTGAAATGAGCCAGTAACAAGGTTGTAAAGTATTATCCTTAGGTGAGCTTTCAGGTTAAAACATGTGGGGTGAGAAAGAGATGAGTAAGAGAACTCACCAACTCCTGCCGAGTTTCCAGACAGCTTGAAGCAGATATTTACAATTAAAAAAAGGAAGAGATTCAGTAAGTCTCATAAAAATAACGTTAGAAACTTAATTAAAAATAAGCTTCAGGTGTTTGACTGGATGATGCGGCAATCTGTGTATTTGCACCATACATTTGCTGATACCGTATCCTTTATGCAGAAGACCAGGTACGACATTTAACTCTCTGCCAGTCTCATTTTACCCTTCTGCTCCTTGCAAACGTGTTTTACCTTATATTCATAGCCGAGGGAAATAAAGTTCCATTACAGCTATGTTTATGTAAAGAACTATCAAGAGGCACTGAAGGAATGCGAATAAATCCAAGTGGAGAGCTTCCTAGTAAAAGCATTTGCTTAGCCACCCCCCCGCAGGATAAATTTACACATCCTCACATGCAGGCCCCAAAAAGGTGCAAAAGATCTACATCAGCTTGGTATGCTGTTGCGTTTGTTTGTTTGTTTTTTAAATCAATGGAATAAAGTTGTAATTCTGGGTAAGAGAAGGGTGTGATGTATCGGCCACATGTCTTGTTTTCCCAAGGGAGGTAAAACCCCCACCCACAACACGGAAGCCCAGTCCTTCAGTGCTTTGGGAGAGAAGTGGGAAACGCTTCCACAGCCGGCTCATCTTGCCCTTGCCACCACTGCCTCTCTTGGATGCCTGATGCTTGTTACAGTTTCTTCCGCTGTTCGTCCCTACCTCCTCAGGAGTGAATTCCACAGGCTGACTTTAGGACACTGCTCCTTCTTTCTTAAGTTCACTGCCAAGGCAATTACAATTACTGACAATTTTTGAAAAGCAGCACATGAATATCATTGTTAAAACAGACACTGCTGGATGAAAAAAGTAATTTTAAAAATAAATTCCAGATCTGTAGCACAATCAAACTGTTTAAATCTGCTGTGCTATTTATGCTACTTTTACAATTTTTTTCACGGTGGACAACAAAAAGTTTCTGAATTGTCTATAGCAGCAGTGGACGAATTCTTGCTGAAAGAACCCTGATCCCTGCTGTTGTTCTTTTTAGCCACGGAAATACAAATCATGCCTTTGCCAAGACCTACTCTAATGAAGATTTATGCATTTTGATCTGATCCCATGTAACACTACCACACACTGACTAACAGACCAATATGAAACAATGCTCCTTTTCAAAATTAATCTATATCTATATTCTCTTCTTTTAAGGAATAAGGTTACATTTTAAGACCTGTTTAGATCCATTAAATCTCACTTAAACAGGCAACTATTATCCAAACAAAAGTTGAAAGACAAATGTTGAATTTCTACAGAAAAAATAGCTTTCTCATGCTCCTGTACAGCTCATATAATACATTCTTCATAAAATGGGAGTTGACATTACTGTAAGAACTTTACCATTTGAAATAAGTTAAGACTAAAAAGGAATAACTGACCTGGTGCAGAAAGATACACTAAATTCAAATCCAATGGAAGGGTATTTTTTAAACGGCATACATACCGACAGTGAAAATATTTACCTGCTAAATGTCCATATGCAGTCCTGCTTCAGTGAACTCCTTCAGCATGCAAGTGAGCCTGTTCAAGTCAATTGACTATTAATATGCTAAAGTAGGCTGCTAAATCAGAGCCTGCATTTTGCAGTACAGTATTCGCAGTGCCAGATTCCTGGTAACAGCATGTTCACAATACATCCCGAAATGGTCTTTTTTTTTTTTTTAAACATCAAAAAAGTAAACCATATACACTACACGGCGACAAACCTTTAATGCAGAAAATGCTGGTTTATACAGGGGTCCTCCAACTTACCTGTGGCTTGGCAGAAGAGGCGAAAGGGTCCCCGGACACTAACATGCTGTGCCTGGTCACTTAGGAAAGGTGGCAACAACATGACCTTTACAGGGTCTGTGCTAGACCAAACATCAGGCTGGGTACTGGTGGGTGAAGGAGGTGAATCACTTCCCACACAGGACAAAAAGGAGGTACCAGTAGGAGGGAAAGGTATAGGAGATGAGGCTGTGTGACAGAAGAGGACAGAAAAGAAAAAAAAAGAGGGTACTAAGGAAAAAAGTACTAAGAAATACATCACACACTGAAGAAATAATGCAAAATGACAAATGTATTTTAGAAGGGTAATAAGAAGAAGTGTCCCTAGGCCCCTGGAGAAGAGCGCTTTCCTCCTTCACCCATGTTTCTTTCTCTCCATCCTTCCAATCCCCCCACCACCCTGGGTTATAACCCATTCAAATAAAGCTGAGAAGAGAATCTGCTTCAAATCAATTACAAAAGTTTTCACCCTTTGCCCTTAAAGGAAACCACACAGAACATTAGTACTTGCAATATGAAAAGCAGTGTCGTGCCAGGTTTCATTGAAGCCAAGATATAATACAATTTATTTTAATATTTATTCTGTTATATGTACATAATTAAAAATAGAAAAATAAAACCAAACTGAATCTTATAAAATATAAACTGTTTACACTAAGATGGTCTAAATTATGTTCGCATCAAAGTTCAACATAGAAAAGCAGCCCAGGCATACTGCTATTTACTGTTAAAATGTACTCTACTTCTAGCAATATTTACAGAAAGATGCAGTGAGAGGAACAATTCTTCAGGACTGTACCGCACAAAAATGCTTTTACAGACAAACAGTGCTGCTGTGAACCAGGCTGAGAACAAATGCACACTTTCACGTTTGCAGGCATGATTCACATAAACAGTTCAAATGACCGATTGTTTGAGCAGCTCCAGTTTCAGTCTCCAGTTGCACAGGAGATTGGAAGGTGTCATCCAGAAAGGGTGATGCTGCAAAGATTTGTCACAAAAAGAAGCTGAGTTATTTCTGAATCTGAAAAAAAGAAAAAAAATCTGCAATGTTTTCTCATCAGGCTGTATCCTAACAGTCCATTCCAGCGAGCCACTAGCTGAATTACTGTAGTTCTTTCTTCTCGATTCCTGTTTCGCCTCCACAGTGCAAAAAACCTCTCTCGTGTCACTACTAACTGACAGCTGCTTGCCTGTACTGTTCCATTAAAAAAAAAAAGAAAATCCAGTTTTGTATAGAAAATAGAATGCGACTATGTCCAGCTTGCTGGTTGGGGGGTGAGGGGGGAAGGAAAAAAAAAAGGAAAAGCATTCCTAAATCTATCATTTCCTCCCTCCCTCGCCACTTACTCCATGTTTTGTACCGATATTGTTGTACCTAAAGTTCTAGAAAGCAGCAAAGAAAAAAGCCTTTAAACAAGATTATCCCTGAGAGTCTTACACAAATCAAGCCAATGTTATCCCCATTATACCTTAAAATCTAAGATACTTAAAAAGCAGTTAAAAAAAATTAACTTTAACCAACTAAAGAGACCTAGTGTGCCAAAACACAAAGCATATAACTAAAAATAATCCCTAGAAGCAAAGAAAAAAAACGTCCCAATCTGGACAAAAGTCTATAATTTACCAATCTGATAAACTAAACTTAATTTCCAATTTGGAATTAAAATGAAACTAGGTCTTTTTTTAATGGCAGCTAAAAATATGTGTAGACTGAAGTACTTTTTAAAGCCAACTGAATTAGAAAGTTACTTTTATCCTATGGAAGAAGAGGAAGAACAAGCAAGTAACTGTTCACCAGAGCGAAGCACTCGGTGGGGGAAAAATTGGGAACAAACTAATGGTGATCTGAAATGGGCCATTTAAAAAAAAAAAAAAAAAAGAAAAAAGCACAACACAAGATGCTACGGTCTGCAGACAAGAACACCGCTTCTCTAATCTGGTGAGATCTGAACGCAAATTGGCTTGCTGTACAGCTTAAGCATGTAAACCCCGATATGGCTCAGCTGTCACACCCACGCTCTCTGTGCTCAGATAGCTAGCCGCAGGACCACAGCTGATTTCCACCACTGAAATGGACGACGGGGTCCTTCAGTCCCCCTCCGCATCCGAGTCGGCATACTTGAGCTCACACTTGACATCGAAGGGCTTGGCCTTGGCCTCTCGGGATGCCTGCGAATCCCCAGGCTGCAGCTGGCCATTCCCGCAGTCGGGCTCAGTCTCGTAGCCGGTGTCGTGCGCCGGCTTCGGCTGCTCCCCGCTCTGGTGGCTGATGCTGCCTTGCTCCACCAGCGTCTCCTTCACACTTTGCTCGCAATCAGAAAAATCTGACTTGGTTTTCTTCTTACCAAGCAGCATAACAGAGCGAAATTTCAAGCACTGCCCTGGCAAGTACCCTTTGTAACAGTTGTAGGACAGCAGGCACAAGAAGAGAATAAAAAAGAAGAGGAAGAGGAACATCAACAGGAAGTTATCGTTTGACTTGAGGAACATGGTCTTTTCCGGGACTGCGTCAGGAATTGAATTGAAGAGCTCTGTGTTGGAGGCTGCACTTGTTAGGACGGGGCCAATGGGCTTTGTTACTATCCTCGCTGTTGTTACCGGTACCATCTGAGTGGTCGAGGTGTGAGTGGTAGACCCCTCGGTTGACACAGCTGACACTTTTGGCACATCGCTATTACCTTCTGTTGGTGCAGCTGCCACGGTGGGGCCCACCGTGGTATGCTGGATCTTTTTCAGTTCCAAAACATGCTTAGCCAGCACTTGAGAAAATTTCTTATTCTTCACTTTCTCTTCTGACAAACACTGGTAAACACCGCTGTCTCCTTCTGATAAATTGAAGATGAGCAGCGCCTTTTCCAGCAGACGGTACTTGGGGCTCTCCACTCTCAGCACATCGTCTTTGAACTTCCAAACTACCTGTGCCAGATTGGACTTTTGAGAACACTTGAGTTCTGCTGTGCTGCCATGCTTGAATGTATGCTGTAGGGAATTCTCTCTTACTTTATCTGGAACATCAAAATAAATGTGCAGAGTATCAGCAATGATTCCCGTTTGCTCTAATCCGTACAGTTTCATGAGACTGTGCTATTGTCTTAACGGAAACGTAAAGATTACAGCATTCAGATTACCTCAACAAGGCCAAGATGACAGCATGCAAGAATCTCAGTGAAACACCAAGCTATAGCTGCGTGCAAGACATCAAGACAGACTAAGAGATAGGACACCTCAAACTCTAAGACAGCCTCCACTTCTAGATAAATATAAGACCTTGTTGATCCACAACTGAGCATGCATCCGAGATGAGTCATTGTTGGAGACAAGATGCTGAACTTGGTCTCACTTTATATGCAATTAGTGCATTTTAAGTAAATCAGCGACTACAAGATATCCAAGAAGAAATTGAACAAAGTGCTGTTACTCAACTTAAACTCTCTTCTGAAAAAGTATCAGCACTTATGGCACACCCACAATGCAAGATCATAAATTAACAAAAAGACTAACAAGCAAAACTCTCATGGCAGTCCATACGTTGCTTGGATTAGAAATAAAAACGGAGTAAATCAAACTCTTAAGAGCTTTGTTTACTGCAGTACGAATCTCCTGTAACACTACTCTCCTTTAAGATCTCCTTGATCTGGTGGTAGCAGCACACACTATAAAGAAAGGACCTGTGGTTACTTGCCTTAAAGCACTATGGAGGGTACTTCAGCTGCTCTGCATCATGTTTGAGTCCCCCTCCCCTCTCACCATAAAACCACCTTTTTTCAGGATCATTTCATCTGATCCAGCAGCAATAACCAAGCACTTATCAAGGCTCATAGTAGAATGTCAAATGCTGTATCACAGAGACAGAAGCCTCTGCACTAGAAGTACTTATGGTAAATATTGCTTTCATTCACAAGTCGCTGTTGAGGTGCCCCCGTTCATTTCAGAGGTTTGTGCCCTGCACACTGAAATGTATACAAATACAGACATTTTAAGACAACATGCAGGCTGTACAGATGCTCAAATATTCAAAAGCAGAATCACATACCTATTAAAATACAAATGAATGTCCAGATAATCACAAAAACCAAGCCGAACTAAATACAACTCTTTCACTACTCCACCTAGACATGTGAAATAGCTCTTCAAAGACTAACTCACCAGAACAAGACGACGCATCTCCACCTATGTTCTGAATCCAGTTCCTGTAAAACAAGTCCAAGTATTACAACTTCAAATCTTGTTTCCTACAGCCTGCCCATCTTCTCGTACTAAGTAAGATTCATCTTATCTAAATACAACAAGCAGACACAGATGGATAAGAAAAAGTCTGTATTTGAAAACATTCAGTTTAAAAAGTGCCAGTTATCGGTAAGGGGCAACACCGATGCAATATTGGTTGTAACTGTAAGGTAATCAAAGGCTACCATTACCTTTCAATTTCACTTTCTTTAAAAATATCAATGCAGGAAGCTTCAAGGGGTTTCCAAGCACAGTAAGGATCCCTTGCTAAAACACAGTCAACACAAGTGGTATACTTGTCACAGAATGCCACTGGAGACTGAACCACACCAGAATTTGAACCAGCATAGAGGTATCTTCTGCCCTAAAAAAACCAAACAAAGCACAACAAAACAAAAACAAAAACACACAGCCAATCACTTTCTCAAAGCAGAACAATCCAATTCATGAAACAATTTAAAAATTATTAAAAGTAAAGAGTTGCATACATACAGATGTGTTTGTAAAAACTGGAGCATGAGGGGAATAAATATTTTTATTAGCTTTTATTTCTAGAAAGGAAAGGAAACTTATCTTGAAAATATTCAGCGATGCTGGAAGTACAAAAAGACAAAAGAACAAAAATCTGAAACAGGTACAGTTCATGAGAATGGAAAGTAACCATGCCTAACCATGGCTTTATCACACAGTTTTTCCATAAATAGGAATGCACCAATAATCCTCATACGAGGCAAGGCAAGCTTGTGCCGATGACAAGGCTGCAGCAGGCACGAGCAAGCCTGAACAGGCAAGGCTTGCTGCACGCAGGACCTGCCCCTATTAACCCAAAGCAGCCCTACTGCCTTCAGCTCTTCTACCAGGCAGGCCTCTGCAGCCACATCAGCATCAGCCTTACAAGAGGCAAATGCAGCAGCTTACTTGCAACTTAAGGAGGAACACTGGATAGTACTCAAAGGAGACAGCACTCGCATGACACCTGGGAGAAGGGGGTTATAAACAGAACGGCTGTTTGACCCACTGTTGCTGGGGATCCCAAACAAGTCTCACTCTGAGCACAGCGGGAAAAGACCATGCTCATCCCAAACATCCTTCTCATACGGCAGGCAGCTGCCTTATTTCACTCATCTGTTTCAAAGCTCAGGGAAACCGACAGCTAAAGGTACACTGTGAATTTGCATATTATTATGCAAAGCCTCAAGAAAGGGGCCTGTGCTGCAACCCAAAACCACCAGTGGCCGACCCTCTAGTCCTTTTGAGAGGCTGTGCATACAAAGCCAAACAACACACCCCACCTTGGCAGTGGGTTGACTTCATCCTGAGCAGAATACCGAGTGGATTTATCAGCACCCTACAGCAGTTGTCATGGCAAATGAGCCGGATCCAAGCACAGAGTTGCTTTTCCTGTCCTGCAGCCATACAGATCTCAGTATGTAGAAATGTATTCAGGAGTCGGGTCTGCAGTGAGACTGCTTGACTCCAGCAGGATGAATATGGTCACAATGTGATGGGCAGACATCCAAGAAAGATTTCTAGTAGCGAAATATTCTTCAAAAACCTCATGTTTGTGGTGCAGACTTTTGGTCTTGACATCAGAAACAGCTTCAAGGAAACAACTAACTGGGCATCTTAGGACTGGATTTAGGTTTTGGGGCTCACTGTCGCTCTTTTACTAAGGATGTAAGGAGGTTTTGCCATGAGAACTCGGAACAGGTTAGTCTCTTTAATGCAATGATCATGAGGAAGTCTGTCTTAAAATTAAGCTAATGAATGACGCATTCTGACTCTAGCAGTCTCTAGAGGAAGCTACAAGACCAAGCACAAACCAGTTTGGATCGTCCCATATATGAAGCATGCAGACAGCTTTCAAGGAAACTCTTGACACTGGAAGATGAAAGACAAAACTGGATCAAAAAAGAATCTGCTGGCACTGCTGGAAGATGGACTTTGAAAGAGAATCAAACTTCAGTGACACACATTCAAATGCAGTCTTTCATCCTGAAATTTAATTTAGATTAGTGTTGGACTATGCTGGAGTGCCCACAGAAGGAAGTCTGCAGTGGTGGAGACTTACGACTTTCTAGGAAAAGCCTCCTAACTCTACCAGAAAGCTCCCCCAATGCACTGAGTGCTGCTCATCTCTCTAGTGCTCTGCTAGCTAACATCCAAGCCAACAGTGTAACACTGCCTATGGGTTGTAGTGTCTCGGCATGGCTCCCAGCTGGTATGTCCACAAATTTCAGAGAACATGCAGTGAGCTGAGCAGACCATTTTAAAAAATCCAGACACATCTTTCAGTCAAGTGGGAGTTATGAGGATCATCTGACTCTGCCCACCACCCTCCAAACAAGTTGAAGGTATATGGGAAGGGCCTGGCGACTACTGCAATAATGTGTTCAGAAAGGACTCTGACTCTGGGGAGGTCTGAAGCCCACCATCAGGGTAACAACTATTACCCTCTCGTGGTTAATCCATTACTATGGGATACCACTACACATTATCACAATACCAGCTCTATGAAGCACTTCAGTAGCAACTGACTGTCATTGCTACTGTGATGTCCAAGGAGGTAGAAACTTGTGTTTTCACACTGAGGGGCAGAAGTAATTCCTGCTTGGGTGGTACCGTGACCATCCAGCTTTCATGACTCTGGCACCTAACCCAACCTCCAACTCCTCATTGCTCAAAAGGACCGCTGCTTTTATGGGAATATACTGGGCAGCACTGCTTCAGTTTTGAGTGTTAGTTTTCTGTGTCAGAAGTTATTCTAGCAACATGGAAATTTTCCCTTGCAGAAGATACAAGCTGTTACTCTCCACAGTGCCGTGCGGGAAGCAGTGTTTTGTTTCAATCCTAAGCTTTGAGAGAAGTTTCTTTGTGAAAAGACAGCATGTTCCCCATGCAGCCCCTATGCCATGTCTCACACTGCCCCCTTTGAGGATATTCTGGAGGAACTGAGAATGTGGTACCTGGATTCAGAGCGAATAAATTCAGTGCCATCATTTCTACACTAGCCTTGGCTACCAAGTGCATACTGAAACTGCTAGATCATGTGTCTTCGGTACCAGGCTGTAATGCCTATCCCTTCCCTTCCCTTCCCCTCCCCAGAAATGGGGGAATCATAATTAAGCCAGTGTATGAATGACCCCACAATTTACCCACAATTAGAAGAATGGGCATTAGCGTATATCTTAGAAGAGTTATCTATCATCATCTTCCATCACAGGGCAAATGCTGAAACCCCCTGTCCAAGCAAGGCATTTGAAGCTTTCTTTGCAGGTAAAGCAGACGAAATCAGCAAACTTTTATATTTATATACATATACACACACACGCATGAGATATATACACACACACATACATATATAGTAAGTTGCCGGTGTGATGCATCATACAAAAATAATACAAACATCTTTACTGAAATCTATGAGCACAGAAGTTTTTAATCACGGATTTTCATTTGTCTATCAAAAGTATACTCTGTCCTCAAGACTTCTATCATAAGCATGAAAGGACAAATAAGCATGCAAGATGACCTTGAAAGAATTATGGCATAAAGCTCTCTTCCACTGAGTTGATCATGTTGGCATGCGAAGTTTTATTCAATATCACACAAAAATAAAAGCTGTTTCTAAGATGTCTTGGCAGTATTCCTAAATCCCTAGCTGCAGAGCACTTACCGATCACTAGGTAGCTACTGAATGCCAGTATTACTACCAGGCACTTCAACAGAGTCATTCTTTCCTTAAGAAATCACAAAATTTAGCCAGTTGACGGGTCTGATGCTACAAGCCACTGCTTAGGGTAATAATTTCATAGACATTCATGGAGCCTATCAGTACTTAAAGGGGGCTTATAAAAAAGATGGCAGCGAACTTTTTAGCAGGGCCTGTTGTGACAGGACAAGGGGGAATGGCTTTAAACTAAAGGGGGGTAGATATAGGCTAGATAAAAGGAAGAAATTTTTTACGCTGAGGGTGGTGAAACACTGGAAGAGGTTGCCCAGAGAGGTGGTGGATGCCCCATCCCTGGAAACATTCAAGGTCAAGTCGGACCTGACCTCTGAGCAACCTGCTCTAGTTGAAGATGTCCCTGCCCACGGCAGGGTGGTTGGACTAGATGACCTTTAAAGGTCTCTTCCAACCCAAACTATTCTATGATTCTACGATTCTACGATCTGCAGGTCTGAGTAACTAGGGCCAGAAGCCTAACTAGCGCACAAAGTACACGCAGTGATTATCCTCCCACTATCACAAAACCACGCCAGGATTAAACCCAGCGACTGATTAATAGCACAGAACGACCGCTGGATTTGGAGCGGCAAGGCTTGTGTCCTCCAGCTGGAGCTGCAGCTGGTACCCTGCTGGGCAGACAGGACCTCATCAGTGGTCCTCACCCCCAGCCACACCAACATGACTGCTCTCACAATACATCTAGCATGCAGGAACCTGAGAGATTTGGGACAGCAGAAACCAATTAGTTACACAATTATGAGTCTCTCTGCTAGACAAGACCATTCCCCCTTCTCAGGTCTATTTCCTCAGAAAAATATACCACTCCTCTGCTAAACCCCCGAGGATTTTTCCTGCAGATTTGCAATGGCCACAAGGGGTCAGGATTTTTACATTACTCCTAACCTGAAAACAAGTACCTTAAAACACGTTACAGCTTTCAGCTTCTGCACATGGAATCCAAGTGAAGTCCTGCACACCTGTGCCCACCACCACCACCTTCCCCTTCTACATACCTTCAGAAGCTTGCCACCTACCAAACACACTGAAATGCAGCAGGCACTACATGGTATTGCTGCACTGCAAGGAGTTACAGATGCAGCCTTTGGCTCTGTGCACAGTGACAGTACTCTTCCTTCACGACAAGGTTACAAGGTGGTACCTAAGAAGTTTTGTGGAAAAGCACAGTGAGATGAATGCTGTGATGCTTATAGCACTTACTTTTTTGGATGAAAGCAAGAGAGTTTGGACTGGCTCAAAGTTTGGGAAAAGCTGTGTTTCTTCAATAATGTGCATTCCATTTTCATAGCTGATAGCTTTGTGCAGGGCTCCTTGATCTGAAACAGCAAAGCAATATATTTAAGTAAGATCCTTAAAATAAAAAGGCAGAAAAAAATTGCACAATTGCTATAAATTGTCTCAGTAATCTGCTTGCTGTTCAGCTGAAGACTTCACACAACTCTGTGCCAATGGCAACTATTAAATCTGCCATCATAAGGAGCTCTGAGCAAGGAATAACATTTTGGGACAAAGAATGACCACTTAGGGATTATCTTATGTGTGTTTTTGCTGTACTCACTGCAGTTTTGCAGTCTTTTCCTGCAATACTTTTTCAAAGCATGTAAGATTCTCCACTTACTCACCATGGCCCCTTTTTTTTTTTGAAAACACCAGCTGGTGTAAAAGCAGTGTAAATATGGAAATCTCAAGAGTTTCTCTTAGAACACACTTCAGCCTAAAGAACCAGAGCATCATTAAAAAAAAAACCACACACCTTTTGCAGAACTCACCTGTACTGATGAACATAACATCATATATGGTGCCATTGAGTGCTCTGACTCTGTCTACTACAATCTGGGTATATTTCACATCTCGTTTTACTAGTCGAGGTCTATCTCCCATCGGAGTCACTGAGTCATCCATTAGAGGATGATCTTTAACAAACTGCAATGTTTTGTCTGGTAAATTCAGAGAACTCATGTAGTTTGACGCTCTGGCTTCATTGTTTATACACTAGCAGGGCAGGGCAGGGGGGAACAAACCAAAAAAAGAGAACCAAATTATATCATTTACTTGTACAAAATAGAGACAATTAACAGCAGCTACATGCATTTTCTTCTCTGCATCATTTTGGCCAGTAAGCACACCTTTACATTATACTCATTCTACCAAGGAAGGTCCACAGGTCTCATAGCACTTCAGCTTCTGCAATGCACTAATCCCTGAATTTCGGACTACATTTTTGTTTGGGCCCAAAATACATTTTAGGAAAATACTCTTTCTGGACTCTCATGCTTCTTAACTACTTTTAACTGTCACCTCATCCAGCAGTACCAACAAGATGACTGCAGGGAACATAAAGTAAGAAAAGTGTGAAAGAGACCTAGAACTATGAAGATTTTAGTTTGCAGAGCAATGCACTGCATTGGATAAACCTACTGAACCTACTGAGACAATGCAATGATTGCTATACTTCTGTTCATCTGAACTAAAAAGTATTTGATGTTGCCTAGTGTACACTGACATCTATTTCACCACTAGAAAATTAGTAACAAAATAACAAAAATACAAAACCAGCAAATAGCCCAATTATAAATTAAAACACCCCGCTTTGATTCCTAGATACAAAGTTCAGAATAAATCACTTGAGTGTTTTTCTACAAAGCCTTTACAACAAAAAGTATCCAGATCAGGGCAAACTAAAATTAAGCTTTAATAGGTTACCTATTATTTTCTAGTTTCTTTACTCCTGAGCATTAAAAAAGACTAGTCATCAGATCCAAGATGACAGAAACGATGACAGAAACTTACCGCACCAGGTCGAGGATTAGGAATTTCCCCATTGTATCGTACCCACTTTGTATGAGACTGTTCTACTGTAGCACTCTGCATATATTTTCCTTTTGAGAAAACCTCTTCTACAGTAGACAGATTGTATGCACACACTGCTGACAGACCCACATTATTCCTAAAAGTTCAGGAAGAAACAAAAGAAAAAGTCATAAGAGTAATCGTTACTTGTTGTAGTAACCAACTGAGATTAAAAGTACTTATCCAGGAAAAGGCTATACCACACTTACAGTTGTGGGGTGAAGACTCCATAGATCACTGGTTCCTTCAATGTTGGAGACTTGAGAATAAAAACATCATTGATAATATTGAAAATTAAATTCTTATCAGGGATGGTACAAATCAATCTGGCCTTGAGAAAGGAAGTCCATTTTTTCTGCAAAGTCCTTAATCCTCCTTGGTCCCTCTTTTGATATTAAAAAAATAAAAAGGTGTTTGTGAGGAGAATTAGCAGCATTTTTGCATTTAAGAACCACTGCTATACCGCATGAAATTACTGAGCCCTGTTATTTTCTAACATTTCATCTAGAGCAACGTCAGTAACTGTTAACAGATTCACAAACAGAAAAGTAAGGAAGCCACAGGAAAATTAGTTGATTCAACAAAAATAATGCAGAATGGTTTCTATCAACACATGGAGGTAAGATGAGATATGAGACTTACAAAAGACCCATACTTCAGCAACACTTGAAAAGTTGAGATGAGCAATGTACCCTTAGAAAAAAACCTGCTTATCAGAACAACTAAAATAACCATGGAAGTATTATACTCTCCCTTGAGAGAAATAAGTAACATTGCATTTGTTCTGTGACATCTAAACTGTGATTTAAATTCTAATGTTGCAATATGCACTCAAAACTTGCCTGACATTAGTAATTTCATTAGAAGAAATGCAGCAATGGCTTAATCCTGCAAGCAGTTGCCACCTTTATCAAGGATTTGCAGAACCAAGGCTTAAAGAAGGAAAGACACATTGACTAGAAACGTTTCAAAATATTTGATACTCGAGCTGTAGCTCTGTTACTTCTCTTAAAAAAGCAGGCATATTTGAACATTATTAAATATTTCCCATTCAGTATCCAATACTGTTATGCAAAGTATTAAAGGAAATCTGCAAAATTTATGAAAACAATTAAGTATAAATGCTTACAGATTTGCAACCTGCCATTGATTCCTATTTCAAACAAACAGCAGCAATAAAGCTCTCATATTCCATGATACTCCCCTTTTAAAGTGTGCACAAGCTGTCAGTGGGCAGAAGGCCATAATAATAAGCTCCATGTAAATCTGCCTCCAGCTGCTTGTTTAATGGAAATCTCAAGGGCACCAACTTGTTATTGATGTTTTGACTTCCGTGTTTAAATATAAAACAGTAAAGTCAAAATAAAACATTTCAACCTCAAAATGAAACAGCTAGATAAATTTCCTGTTGGAAAAAAAAATCCTGAGGAAATTGATACATTCCACTGCAAAGGTTTTTGTTAAATCAACATTTTCTCCTGGAAAAAAAAAAAAAACCAAACAAAAAACTCTTTCATCAGCAAGATTTTTAACCAACACTCCTGAGTACGTACTTGAACCAGCCTAACACACTGAGGTTTAAACACAGCAAGTGTGACAGAATCAGGCTGCTGGCGACCATTTTCCTTGAGGCTCTGGCAGTTCTAACAGCTTCATGGAAGTCCCATCTGCTACACCTCAGTAAAGACCTATTCTGCTGTGGACACAGCTACAGTTCTGTTTGTATACAGCTACTTGAAAGTAACTTGACAGCCTATCTGCTCAGCTAGAACCAAAGTCAGTTCTTCCCAGGGAGCTGTATTTAAACTTGGGAGTTGTTTTAAAAAAAAAAAAAAAAAAAAAAAAAAAAGAAAGCCAGGGGAGGCACTTCTTCCATTGCTGGGTTTTGCGGTGGTTGTTTTTTTCCCCCAGGGGTGGGCAGAACCCTCAGACATACTGAAATGTCACCACAAAAAAAAATTAAATAAAGTATTTGTTCCCAAAGCGACAACTAGGCTTTCCCAGTTCTGAAGAACTGATTGAAATTGCTGATTCACTAAGATTCACTAAGTTCAACCACTTCCATTTAATTGGCAATAAGTCCACAATAATAAATGCTTTTTAACACACACACAAAATTCTAGTTGAATTAGTAAAATTAAATTGAACTATGTCCCACCTTGCACACTCTAGCTATTCTTGGAATCATCAGTTTTCCAACAAATTCATACTCCACAGACACCTCAGTGAAAAAGAAGTATATCTTGTCATCTTCTCCATCTGTGCTGTTTTGATCTGCTCTTATGACATCAGCAAAAACAAAATTGGGCTCTACAGATACAAAGAGAAGAATTTTATATTATATATGAGACTACTAACTTGATTCCCTCAAAAACCCTCTAGGAGTCCTCTTTCACCCAAACATCACACTGCATTTACCTGCTCTCCAGTCACTGACCTGCCTACACAGTTTGCTGTTCATAATATGAATAGCATTTCTAAAAAAAATAAAAAGAGAAAAAAACAAACCCACAAACCCTATGTGAAAGCACTAAGATACCCGAGAGATCTCTATGGTCTGATTATCTTGTTACTTCAGTGTTCTTCAGTCCACACTCGAGCGTGGTTTTCTAATGGGCCTGGAGAGGTACCCTCCCTTGCCTGCATCTCCTCTATTTCAGCTATTAGCTGAAATACTAAAAATTACAGTATCATTACCACATGTATTACAAAACTCAGTATCCTGCACTTTTTGGACATAATGCATCTTTTGGAATATGCTAACTTCATGATTTTGGTCCTTTTTGGCAGAAAGCTACAAACCTCTGAGCATTCACAAAACTTGGTGAATTTCAAAATTCAGGAGCTGAAATCATCAGGAACCATGATCAGCTCAATTTGGAAATCCATTAGAGACCAAAACCATTCTCTTCCCTACTCTATCATAACTATGCTGCATTATTGCAAGGATGAACAAGTAGATACAAAATAAACTGTAGCCCTTTAATGTCAAGTTGAAGACTGTATGTCTTGAAGCTGTTTTCATTGTCAATGCTGATAAAAATTCTGAAATTTCAAAATAAAATCTCTTGATGGCACACATGAGGGCACACACTCACATGTCAGCCAGCACAACAAAATCCATTCCCTTTGAGATATTAGAATTGCCCCTTACCCCAGATAAGACACTTAAACTCTTTGTCTGTAAGTGTGACATTGAAGAAGGAAAAACAATTTGGTTGGGCCAGTTCACACGCCCACTTACCATTAAGCCAAGGTATTGCATACTCTGTTCTCAGAGGGCTCTGATGAGAGTGCCGTGAAATGATAGGCTCACTTCCCAAGAAATTGTAAGAAGTCCCAGAATAAAGCTCCTCATCTTTAACACAAAAACAAATATTTTAGACTTTCTTATGCACTGGATACCAAAAAGGGTACATAAATATTTCAGGAGACTATGTAAGCTTAAACTTCCCACAAGAAAAGATAAACAAGGATTTCCTCTAAATTGCCCCAGACATGTCTTCTATGTTTACATTTCTGCTGACCATTCTCAAGGCTAACACTTCCACACTTGGGTTTATTATTGCTCTAATACAAGCAACTCGCAGAAGTCAGCATTGTTTTTGTGGTACTTTAACACTTAACATGCAAACCTACAGTTTACATACAAACATGCAAATTTACTTAAGAAATGCCACAGAAGTTTTGGAAGTAATTATTTTATTCTCTTTCTATGCCACCATTACTCAAATGAAACTTTTAAGAATTTAGGCAACAATGCAGAGAGTGTGTTCTTTCCTTTCTCATTTCCTGTTTCGTGTTATTTTGAGCTTCTCTTTTATGATCTTGTGACACCAGGGTACAGCCATGAACTCTGGTTTCACCAAATCAAGATTCAGTGGTGTCTAACCATGCAGTAATACACTTGCAATAAATACCTCACTTCCCTATTCTGTCTCATGGATGTGTCTTCAGGACAGCTAAAAAATTCTACTTGTTAAATTTACTGAAATGACAGTAATTGATACTACAAAGGCAGTCAAAGTACATTTAGACTACCTGGACTAAATATGTTAAACACCTGAAAACACAGTTTTAAAATAAGTATTTTAAAAGTTGCTTCCAAAACAACCTAGAGTTTTAAGTTCTCCTTTTAAGAAACTTGCTAAGGTTGACTACATAAGTATTTTAATGTCTATCTAGATACACAGTAAAGATGTAAAGATATGGACACAATCTACCATTTTGATATTGAGAGACTGGAGAATGACAGCGGAAAAGATCAAACATTTTTATACATAATACTGAGGTATGCAAAATCTGAACTTACCAACCATAACAGATGTATAGCTTTGAGCAGGATCAAACGGACATCTGCCCTTACCATCTTCATTTTTACCTCCAAGTTCAAATGAAATTAAATTCTGCAAAAAATTAAGTTGAAAACCACAAAACAACTGTTAGCACTTTTTCTTTTAGCCACTTGACTCGTGCAAAGGTAACTGAAAAATTAACACTAAATAATGGACTATATCATCAGCTTCCAGCAAAGGCATTTTTTGTAAAATTATAAAAGGCATAGACATTTTCAGAAAAATCTTATCCAGTCCAGCAGACAGAGAGGAAATGTGATCCTATGATTTGTGAGAGTGGGACCAGAAGACGAAAAGTTAAATCCAGACAGGCCTCAAGAAAGGGCATCCAAAAAAGCCAGACACCAGGAAAGGCAGAGAAGTTAACTGATATATGGAAAGAGCTGGCAATTACTGAATTAGCCTGCACAAAAATGGAGAGTTTTAGACATCAAGAAGGCTTTCTGAAGTGGATTTAGCAATTTGAGATTATGTTAGATTTGTGAGATGCGTATAATCTAACTAGATTTTAAAAAGCAACAGAGTACTTTGGCTGCTACTTCGTAAATCCCTTAAAAACCAAGGGAATGAGGATCAGGAAGATGATGGGAGAACTGTAACCACAGTACTGGGGAAGTGATCGGTTATACTGTGTAATGAAGACATTGGAGGCTAAGAGCAATGACTCCTGGCAATGTTCCAGAGGTGATGGCAGGCAGACTTGTAGGCATGGGAGACAAAAAAAGAACAAAACAATTACAAGATTTCTCAATTTCAGAATTGTTAAGAGCCATAGTAAGGAGAACGACACAAGAATCAGCAGCAAGAAAAGGGAGTTCTGATTTTGCGCCAAGACTTCACTCTGAAGCATTCAGCACTATGAAGCTGTGGCATAGCCAGGAGCAGAGAGAGACAAGACAAGCAGAGACAGGAATCTGAGAAATTTCAGGGAGATTTGGTAATGGATGGAAGTCACAAAGAATGTAATTTCAGTTTTAGAAATTGTTTTTATGCTAATGGACAATACACAAAGAATTATGAAAGCTAAGAAAAAGTAAATCCGCAGTTAAACAAGATGAGTCACTAATTCAGTAAGTGCTTTGAAAAAGGAACAGTACGGTTTATTTCCATACTCCATCGTTACTGTGGGACAGTGTAATAAATGCTCCAAACGTTACGACTGGCACTGAAATTGCGACAGTCTTTGGGAATGGAGATTAACTCATTGTTTAAATGAGCTGCTTTTAAGTTACAGTTGTTATTGGGTCAAAATGTATGTACATTCTTACCAGGTAATCGCATGTTGGCTGAAACGCATTAGTTCCACACACGTAGAGAAAAGTATCATTCAGCTGTTGCAAGACACGCACGTAATTACGACACTCTGTCTGTAACAGAGGATGAGAAAAGGACCAGTCTGATAAACTACAGCTTCCACATTCCAACATAAACAAACAATTAAAGTTGTGCTGTCAGCTCATCTGTTGCCGCTACTTATGCCACACCGAACCAGTAAGGCTGGGTGATACAATCACCACTGGGACACCATCTCCCTACAGTCTCCAGGAGCTCTAGTCCTGCAGCATCTGGTTTCCTACAGCCTGTAGTGCGCAGCTGCCTCAGTGTACCTATCAGGGTAGCATGACCAAGTACCATATGCTCAGCAAGGTGCATCTCAAGTTGTCCCATGAAAACACAAGCTCCAAAGACACATCCAATCTATGGGAACAACTAGTTAAACATGGAGTAAGTTTTAGACTTTGTCGTCCCTTGTAAGCCTAGATGGAACAGTAAGTGATAGTCAAGGTTGTTTCTTAAGAGAAACCTCCAATACCATTAAATTAGCTACAAAGTTGTGTCACTTAAAAAAAAAAAAAAAAGGACAGATATAAGTCCATGGTATCAATTGCTCTTTCATCTAAGGAAGCTTCTTAATTCCTTTGGCTCTGAAATACAACAAAGAGTTTGAGCAAAGCCTTGAATAAAGGATACCATAAAGTTTCAGAATAATAACCAAGAAAAACAACTGTAAAACACCCACTTAGAAACAGGGAAAAAAAACAGTATCAACAACACCCCTTAATTCTTGCTGGTGCATAGCCAGATACCACCACTGTACTGTAGTTCCATAAACTACTTAAGCAAGTGTAAGCACTGTCCTTACTCTTCCCTCTTATGAGCCAAACCAGGTATTTCTGTGACTGTATGGTGGGTTCGGTATGGCAGAAAACTGATGGGGAAAAAAGAGCAAAACCAGTTTTCTGTCAGATGAAGTCCTTGAACAGCTGCATAAATGCTTTTTGCTGGCACTAAACAGCATAGTGTTGATGGGTAGGGGAGAGGACTGCCCATTTTAGTGTAAGAAATAGCAGTAGTGTCTTAATACCTTGACCCTATTGCACTACGCAAAACACGCGTAAAAGGTTGAGTACAGTGAGGAAAAAGCATGGCTGGCAATAAGTGTGACTTGCTAAACTGGGGGCAGGGAAAAAAAAAGGAAGAGAAGTTTGGACCTCTGGCAAAGTACCTATTTATGGGGTCTAACATCCCTTCTAACTAACACCAATAATCTCTGCGGAGGACTGGTGGAGATGCACACACCATCTGCTAAACTGTATGCACATGCACATGAGAGAAATTCACATCTCATATTCATCATGGCTGTATGCGAATATTATTACTAGTAACCCCAACTGAACCTGAGGAACGCAAATAACACTCTCCGGATGCATCCTGAAGAGGCAGTCAAGGAGGAAATGGCCCTTAAATACCTGCCACACCTCGTGTTAGGATAATGTATTGATGGTTGTCAGTCGAAGAAAAGGCAGTAAGGTGAGCCAAGGGAGAGGGAGCCCACTCCCACCTCGAGGAGTCCCATGAATGCAGGATGCCTATCAGACCTGGATGCAGCACATGGGGTTTTATAACAGTGTGAACCAAAGAGGCTGCAGGTTCAGGGGTGCCGATGTCAAATCCCTGGAAGCGTAGAGTAGGACTGCTTTTTGTATTTGCAGGGCTTGCAGACTTCTACTTTCAAACCTGTGCTGAAAGCCTGACCATCAGCCTTGCCCAGTAAACCCTCACTTTACCGTATCACTAAACTAAGTAGCACTACACAAGGGGAAAGGAACCCGTGGTTCCCAGAAACACCAAGGGATCCCAGGGGCTGAGCTGCCTGCACGGCCTAGCTGGCAGGAGATCAGGCTGCTCAGGTGCTGGGGAGCTGTCTGAGCGGTCACACCAGCAAGGTGTTACCGCAAGGGGCACACCGGCTAAGCACCACAATAAGGATATATGTAGTTAGTGAAAAATACACTGGTGGAACAGCACTGGCCTAATAAATAAACCCTATGCCCTAAAGCAAAGCAAACAAAATTATCAGTCATTTCATAAAATCAAATGCTGGGAGGAATTATTGCAATAACAAAACACAACAGTTGCTATCAAATACCTCAGTGAAAGTAATACTGGTTTATCATTTTAACAGAAAAACTTGTACCATTAAGCAGCCATAAGGGTGTGTTCAGGTTTTCAAACATTCAAATAATATTCACCAGCAAGAAGTCATGAACTAAGAATGAAAAAAAAAAAAAAAAAGACTAAGCATGCTGCAGTTTCTAAAGCTCAAGTTAATTAAAGAATTTAGGTGATTATTTGAAAATTTTAATTTCAAACAGTTGGAGCCTTTCTTCTTTTAACATCACTCCTCTTCAAGTGAAATGTGTAACATCTTTCTCAAAGTTCAATAAAAGTACATACCTGTTCTGATTTGCCCTTGACTGCACATTTAGTTCTTTTATCTTCAGTGACCTTCCAGTGTAACTAAGTGAAAAAACAAGCAACAAAAAGGCACATTCAAAGCATTTTAATTCAATGCAAGGTCTGAAAATCTTGCAATAACACACAAAAAAAGGCAATCCTAAGACTATCTGCAGCAAATGCAAGCCATTTTGCAAGTAGCTTTCAAAGGTTCAAAGCCAGTCTTTCCTGGGGAGACGACACTTCCAAATGCATGTGGCTTAAGTGGGGCTAAACCACTGCTATTACCTTTTGAGTTCATCATGATGTTTCCCCGCAAATCGCTAATGAAGTTGCCATTGCTATACGCATTAGGGAAATGCAACTGTAACTGTTTTAAGTACTTCTCAATTTTAAGTACTTCTCAATTTCATTCACACTTGGGGAGGATGGGGGCAGATCAAAGAAAATTTATTGGACCAATTTACACTATATGGAGAAGTACAACTTTGACAGTTTCATGGACTCATAAAACAAGTTTTATATGCTGGTGAAATTGCCCACCACCACCCATGAACATTTTGTTCAGATTAAAAATCATATGAGCATCTTCCAAAACATCCTGGGTGGGACTCCATGCCACACCTCTAAGTGTCAGCCTGTGCTGCTGATGGGATGAAAAGCAGGAGCCTGGGATGAACTGGAAGCAATACAATGTTAGCAGACTTCTGCATGGGCTAATCTACTCTGAGAAGCCAACGTCAGCACATCCAGAGTACTTCTCTGAGCATGCTGGATCAGACCTGTCTGCTCACCACTTGCTGTGCAGACACACCTAGAGACACAAAACAGAAGCTGAAACCAAAAGGACAGGGCCCTCATTTCATTTGAAGGATGTCTGCAGCCTGCCACTCCTGAGCAAACTGCAACTTTGCTTCTGTTTCAGATTAGATTACCTTCTGATTCAGATTAACAGGAGATGGCCCACCCCTGATAATAAAAATATGTTTAAGAACCACTACTACAGATGATAGCCAAAGTCTGTCCAGTCCAGCATCCCGTCCCCAAGAAGAAAATACCTAAGGAGACCTCTCATTACTTGTTTATATCCAACTTCTCATTTCTTCTGCTCATCTGATGGCATGTTTTGCTCTATAGCTTCTTCCAGAAATAACACAGGAGTAGCCCACACAGCGTATCTCTTTTAGGTACCTACCACCTAAAGCGCAGTGCTACTGATATCAGGAAATGAAGTCAAATTTGGAGTACAATTTTTACAGGGAGGATAATGTATTAAAATGCATACCTCATGCTGCTTTTCAGCAATATTCATTGTATTTAATGCAAAGATCACTTCTCTGGCTCCTACATACAGAACATCTTCGTCTTCACTTAACAGCAAGGTTGAATAGTTTGACACTTCTGATTCATGAAAATGTATTAGCTGGACCTCTGTTGAAATTAAACAAAAAATAGTACCACATGAACAAACATGACCACTTAGGGTCGAGTTTATGAGTCATTTTTCTAAGTTGTCTAACAGCTGTTGGATATCTTAAAAACAACAAAGGCTAGTTCGGAAAACCCATGTAACAGATCAGAGACCCCTCAGAAGTTTGGTTCTGCAGAAACAGCAGCTCCCATCATCAACATCAAAATCACCGGTCCCTGCTTTCTCGTTCAATTTCAAATGCCTAAACAGTTCCTCTTGTGGTGATCCTTATAACTCACGTCTTCCTTCATTTTTTCTACCTGTTAATTCCCTTTTTTCTAACCTTCTATTTTACACATCCACTGTCAGGTCTTTCCTCACCTTTTCTGTCCCACCTACTGTGAAAAATCAGGTCAGTCACCATGCCCCTTGCAACCGCCCTGAACAAATCTCACAAAAAATCCTGCACCTTAAAAGACAACACTTCAGCATATTACCACAGCAGAAAGACGACACAGAAGCTAAAGAGGGACCATATACAGAGAGTCAATAAGCTGATTTTGAAGTGGAGACCAGAGATGAAACACGTATGATAGAAAGAAATAACATGAGGGAAAAATCAAGATGAAAAGGAAGAAGATGAAAGAAAGAGGGAGACACGGGGGGAAAGGCAGTGGAATGAGGAAGCATGCAGAGTGGAACAGAATGGCTTGGAGAAAGATGACACAAAATGACTAATATACAAGAATATTTTTTCTGCATGTAAAACCATAATGGAAAAATAACTGAAAGCTTGGGAGACCATATTTTGTGCAAGACACTACCACAAGATTAATTAAGTGTGTCTTTTTAAAATACAGGCAGAAAACAATGTATTATTGGTCCCAATTCTAACATTAGAAATTGCACATTTTCAACTATAATACTCTGGAAACGTTCATTTTAAACTAGATTCTCAAGCATGTAATTTTAAAATCTTTAACTTGGCAGGAAAATTCTCCCCAAATGGATGAACTGGTTCATACAACTCCACATGTTCACTCCTCCACTGAACTAGATTCCCCCTCCTATTCAAAGTAGGCTTCCCACATTTAAATGCAACAATCTTTAGCAGACAGAGACAGG